GTAGTAGGTAGTAGGTAGTAGGTAGTAGGTAGTAGGTAGTAGGTAGTAGGTAGTGGTAGTAGTAGTAGTAGTAGTAGCAGCAGCAGCAGCAGCAGCAGCAGCAGTAGCAGCAGCAGGAGCAGCAGCAGGAGCAATAGTAGTAGTAGTCGTCGTCGTGGTAATGGTAGTCGTCGCCAACACAACAACGACAACAACTACTACTACTTCTCCTGCTGCTACCTATTACTGTGTACTGACAATGCTCAATGTAAATCTGTCGACCTGAGCTCGGATCCGCTTGTTGGAGTTGCAGAAGTTTTAGGGTTTCGGGGGCTTTCACGAGAGGAAAATTCTTGTGCTTTTTTCATATAAGACTTAATCAATAGCTATAAAACTCAAGCATTTTGAGGGTTTTCAGGGTCGGGAAGGTATATAACCCTTCCCAAACCGTGACTGTAGGCACCAAGAGTCACAGGACAGCCGTACTTCGATGAGACGGCAACCAAACTCCCTGTCAGCGCTTCTTTGCAACCGCAGGTTGTAGGGCACAAAGCGCGGATCCTTCGTGATGAACGTGAAGACACGCGCACACACACAACACACCAACCGTGATCCCATCTGTATCATTAAACCCACGAAGACACTTGCGATACAGTATTTTTCACTACAGCGGATGTGAGACCAGGTGCAAGGGTTTTACAAGCATGAACATAGTAAAGCGTGGCATCTTCTTGGCCTCAGCCATTTCAGATTTTGCAAAACAATCTAACAACAGTATGCCCCAACAACTTGTTGGTGTTCGAACTCCATTGATCGATCACCCCGGCACATCCGAGTCAAGCGGCGACTCCGGGCTATTATGCGGTTTACAATACGAGCCGGACTGTATGCCCCAAGTGTTATGCGGTTCGCCAGGTTGCAGGCTTACTACACAAGTGAAGATGAAGACTCCGTCCGTCCTCCACAGGTTATAGGCCAGGTATGACCAGTCGTCGCAATAGGCTTCTGCAGATGTGCAGGAGTCCAAATGATCAGTCTGGAAAATCTCCTGCAAGAGCTGGACCGCCGCTCCACCGAAGTTTTGCAAACCAGAGCTCTCCAGAATTGGGTGGTCGCTGTCCAGGCAGACTGGCATGAAGTCGTTACGGCTTTCAAAGTTCCGACCCTCGAACTCCACAATGACCTGCTTCAGCACGTCGCTGGAAACACGAATTGCCGAAGGCTGCAGATCTCGAGAGCCCTTTAGGCCAGTGGCTTCAAAAACAGCACGATAGGCGTACGTCTCGCTCTGCACAGATGATGATGCACTGTAGTCCCGCATGAACACAAAGCCGGCCGCATCCTTGAAAAAACTAAAGGACGTGTTCCCGCCGCACAGCACATCTGCGGTCTCCTGCATCCTGTCCACCATGGGCTGCAGAAAGACGAGGTGCGAAAAAAGCACCACGACTGCAATGAATGCAACCTGGCTGCAGGATGAGTCTGAAGAAGTACTATAGTTTAAGAAACAGTACGAAACATGAAGAATGTGTTGGCCACAGGTGAGCAGGACATGACTTGTTGGACACAACATTGGCTACGAACAGAAGGTGATGTTGCTGCTCATGTCGCCATTAGCGTTGCCGTTGCTGTAGCGGCTGCTGTTGCGGTGCCTATGCTGACGACAATAGTGATGACGATGGTAGTAACGATGGCGATGACTGCAACGAGGATGTTGGTGAACATGATGAAGGTGATGATGCTGATGGCGATGATGACGATGACGACGACGATGATGATGCCGTTGTTGTCGTTGCTGCAGCCGAAGCTGCTGCTGCTGCAGCTGCAGCTGCAGCTGTTGCTGCTGCTGCTCCTCCTGCTGCTGCTGCTGACGCTGCTGCTGCCATGGCTGTTGTCGCTGCAGCTGCAGCAGCCCTGGTTGATAATATTGTCATTGTATTACTATTCTTGCTGCTACAGGTAGTGCTGTAGCTGATGATGTTGTTGTTGTTGTTGTTGCTGCTGCTGCTGCTGGTATTATTATTGTTGTTGCTGTGGTGGTTGTTGTTGTTGTTGTTGTTGTCGTCGGTGTCGTTGAGTTTGTGGTTGTTGTTGCAGTTGTTGCCGCTGTTGTTGTTGATGATGTTGTTGTTACACCCTGGCAGCTGAACTAGGGGTCGTCTGCGGACACGCGTACACTCATTCGTTATGCAATTTCAGCAGGGGGGGGGGGTGTGGCTCTCTGATGCTGCCATGCCCATCAGAGAGGGAGGCCGGGCCTGATCAGCCTGGTGTACATGTCAATTGCTTGTGACATAGTGTATTCATCCTTGCTGTGCCATGTCGATACAGTTGCTTACTGCGTGATTTCTTCTTGATGGCATGGGGCTAAGCCAAGAACCCCTACAATGGTGATGTTTGACAGCTGTCATACCCCAGCCATGGTGCACAGCACGCGCTAATGCACGTGAGGGCATTTCCATGAGTTTAGCCGGGTCTGGTTCAGTGCCCACTGTCTCTGCAACAAAGGAGCTATGCCAAAATGTCTCAGGCAGGACATCCAGGGCCGTGCCTGAACAGTCTCGCAGCGATTGGGATTTGAAACTTCAACTGGGAGTGCGCATTCAAACAAGCTTTCAACGAGGCCTAGGCTCTGGAAATGTAAAGGCAAGAGCAGACAAGTCCGGCCAGGCGACTTCCGATGCGATCTTACGAACGCCAGTCAACCTACTATCTGCCGGCTCTGCTCCAGAAGAGTGTAGCCGAAGGCACCAGATTGACAGTGATCTCCTCCATACGATCCACGGCCGACAACACCTGCATAAGGCACAATCCACTCGTCCTCCTTCATAGCACGGGCTGGGACACTGCTGCACCACAGGCAGGGCTCAACCTCACACTGTCCCAATCTGCAAAGGCAGCGCATATAGAAGCCTGATGCTAGATTATCCCCGGACTCCGAGCCATATCACGAAACTCGGGGCCAGCAGAACCCCCGTCCAACAAGCTACCTGTACTTATCCAGCCCCGTGCATCTCCACAAACCTCCAGCAGTTGCAGCGGGTGCTAAGGCAATGTTGCCGGGTTGCAGTAAGACATGTTGCAGCCACCAGCCTTGTGGGGCATGAGCAGGGTAAAGAACACGTCATCCACATGGAGAACGACCTCCAATGCCACCTTGGTGCATAATACCCCAAGTGCGGAGTGTAAGCAATCCTTGTAGTTTTTCTTGTCGTGCTCCGGGCTCATCGAAATTTCAAACATGAGAGGCTGCTTTTGTCGTTGCCACGACCCATGCTGGTGTGATATTCAGAAAAACCTGCAAAACCACCTAGACGTTGCATTCTGAACTCATTCAAAGGACCGTATTGAGGATCAGCTCCGAGACAGATGCCGTGGCCGCCTGCTAGCGAGGAGGTTGGTGAGGCTTCAGCTGGCTGGGGGATGTGACTACGACTGCTGCTGCTGCTGCTGCTGCTGCTGCTGCTGCTGCTGCTGCTGATGCTAGTGCTACTGCTACTGGTACTACTGCTACTGCTGCTGTTTCTACTCCTGCTGCTCCTGCAGCTCTTGCTGCTTCCAGCTACTGCCATAATATTGAGTGTCGACATGTCATGGTCCCTGAGGCAATGCCTGCACAGCTCAAGAACGAAAGACTGCGAATACTAAGAACGAAAGACTGCGAATACCAGTCTTCGCCTGCATCTGCAAACAAGAAAGCTCTCCAGACTGAAGACGAGCTGCAAGGTATCGGATTCCTGTCACTCCCAGCATTGCTGCAATGATGAGTCTCGTGGCCTCGAGCACAGGTACGAAGGGCAGTTGGGGGATTTGTGGACGCTGTTGAGATCGCAGAGGTTGCTAGACCTAGGCTTAAACCCTTTGGTCGAAAGAACTTTGTGGACCGAGAACTATGTCTGGCCAACTTGACCCGCAAATTGGAGCAGTCTGCGTCTCTGAGAGCGAAGGTACATGCGACCGCCTCTTCGGGACTCTGTAGCTCTTCCGAAGCTCTGTCGGTGCGGTTGTGGCTCCGAGCAGCAAAGACTTTCAGTGCGATGATGTCGAAGCAGAAGCTAGGCCACCAAGGTGCAGATGTTAGGATCAGCATCACTGAGCGGCAGCGGCTGATCCGCTTCAGTGACAAGTTCTCTGCATCCAACTCCTTGCCGCAGAAGTTTTAGAGAGATTGCTGCGCGACCCTTCGCATGAAACTTCCAAGGATACTTGCACTCAACCATGCTCGACTGGTGCATACAGATTCTTGCGATTCATCCCTGCCGGAGTGGATAATTAGGACAGTCGTAGCAAGAGGATGGGAACATCAAAGGTTGAATAGCGTATCCATCCAAAGCCACACCACCCGACCCAAGAACCAGCAAGATATCTCAAGACTCTGTAAGCCGTGACGGCACGGCACGTTCTGCCCGGGGCACTGTCTTGTCTGCTGAAAGAGAGATCATTGCCCAAGTTAGGGACACGATAGAGAGAAGCTCGTTGGTGACCGTGGCAGTCCAGACCTTGCGATCGTGCCCTACTTGGAGGTTCATGGGTAGTTATAAGTGGGGTTATAAGTCCCCTAATATGGGTTATAGCTATGCTATATTTACCGTACTTATAACCTCACTTATAACTACCTATGAAACTCCGAGTAGACAGGTGGATTTGCTTCTGCGGCTTATCCTGAAACCCTGCCAAGCCGTAAACCCTCACCAGCCCGCAAAGGGCGTGCCAACTGACAAATACTGACAAGCAAGATTGCCGGAAGCAAGTGACCCCAGCCAGCGCTGAATGCCAAAGCGCGTCTTTTTCAAATTGCCTGCTTTTGAACCACGGCCTCTTGAGGGATATCCAACTACGGTACCATGTACTTCGACATGCTTCCGAGGGGCAAGGAGCGCTAGCAAAGCCAGCCACGCACCCGCCGGAAGCGAAGCAGGCCTTAAGTGTATCCTTACGGGTCCTTATACCCGGAAAGGAGTCTCAGAAGAACCTAGGAAATCACCAAGTTGGAGTCCGATTCGGCCTCTGATTGCAGCAAAAGTCCTACCATGACCAATGCGTATACCAAAATCCCTGCTGTAGAACTGAGCTTTCTGTCGGCCGCAGCAGCCATCATGATCCCCAGCCCCTGAACAGCAAGTAGCTTGCAGCGTAACTTAAGTCCCGATGTTAAGACCCCTTGTAAAACACAGGGTGGCAACAAAAGAGCTTGCCGGGCTAGATCTTCTGGGCGCAACAAGATAGTGAGCAACAGAAACTGCGTGAATATATACATACTTAATCAGATATATCTATCATCTATAATTATATTATATATCTATATGTATTTTTATATATGTACATGCTATTCATAGGTATACGTATAGGTATAGGCATAGATATAGTAGAAATATAGATATAGATATTGATAGGCGTGTATGTTCACGATCCGCGCTCACTCACGCAAACAGATTCCAGTCATTCCGTGCCCAAAATGACAAGGAAGGAAGCGGCGGGCTTGGGGCTGCTGAAAGGGACCCTTACATTACTGAGTCAAGCACCCTGTCCAGATCTTGGTTCTTGCATGTTCCTGCTTAACATACAGGGCTAGGAATTCTTGAAATCGACACATCGCATCCCGAGGGTCAAACCGCGGATGGATGGATGGATGGATGGATGGATGGATGATGATGGATGGATGGACAGACAGAGAGACAGACAGACAGACAGACAGACAGACAGACAGACAGACAGACAGACAGACAGGCAGACAGACAGACAGACAGACCGACGGACAGACAGACAGACAGACAGACAGACAGACAGACAGACAGACAGACAGAGAGACAAACGAGACAAATGCAGCTGTGCTGCGAGCTCGCATCGTCCTGCACCCGAACGCCGTAGGACACCACACTCTGGTATATCTCCGCTTGCCTGGCAACCGCTGCCGCAGCCCGCCACAGGTGCAGGTACTAGATTACCACATGATCACGTGCAATGTCGTCGGGTAGGAAGGGATGTTGCATGTGTGAAGCCTGTATGCGATGACACGCTTCCGTGCAGTCCCCTCTGCAACTTTGAAGGGGAGGCCCCCGCGAAGCATCAACGCTCCCGCATTCTCGAGAGACAAGCCTGAAGCGCTCAACCCAACTGCGACGAGTCTCAGACAGGCTGCGCTCGTCCATCCATCAAAGACTGTGAGCCACTGCACAGCCCGACCATGAGAGGCTCGCCGGTGATGGAGTCCACGAATTCACTGCTGTGGCCTCTTGGGTTCGGGACTACTTCGGGTTGCGCAGCTTCTGAGATGTTCTTGCATCCTGCGGCCCTGCGCCACCAGAAAGGATCCATAACAAAGGGTCTCTCTCTCCGTCTCTGGATTTGGTTGGGTTGGGCTGGTGGGTGGGGGCGCGCACGCGCGGGTGTGTGTGTGTGTGTGT